TCGAAGAACTGATCAGTGAACCAAGAATATTCGTTTAGATAATTTCTTCACCAGGACCTACACTAGTACTATGTCCATAATTGAGTTCAGAATAGCTGTCGTTGGCAACATTCATGTGGCCTCTTTAAAATAATATCGAGTCATTAAGAGGATTAATAGATTACGGCTCAGAATCATGTGTATGTGATCATGAGGATAAGAGTAAAACTGACCTGAATATCATCACATAAATTAAGAAAAATAATTAATACGGAATTTATAGATTCTGTATAGCAGGTCAAGGGAACAATCAATGCCTGAATATGTTTTTTATTTTATACGTAGAGTTACAGTTGCTTCAGACTGACTACTGACCTTAATCAGAAGAGTGGAACAAAGCTTGGTATTTGAGGTTTATGGAGTGAGGTTGTTAACCTCACACGCCTAACCTTCTCTCCTTATCCCGGTTTACTAGTCGTGTTCCATGAAGGAAGTAAAGGATCTCATAGACAGTAAATCTCGGCCTCCGTAGCACGTAAGCCTGTTTACATTCGAACTTGACTGTGACCACCTAGTGCCCACGGAAAGAATGAAGGCTTAAAGTGCCACGCAGAAGGCAGCGGACGAACAATAATTCAATTATACAATAATAATAATAATCAAGTGTTGCCTTGTAGGGGTTTGATTGGTTACGGGATTTTCATCATGAGCTGACATTAGCTAGAGAACCACTGGAAAGCCTGCCAGGGAGTACTGGACAGTCAGCTGTTTCGTCAGACCAGTTTGGGGCTCTTCATCAGTATGCACCCACCATCAGCGTTTGAACTCCCGACCTTCTGGTTACAAGGCTATCGAGCTCGTAGACCATTAAGCCACTGGGACCTGACCCAATGACCAGCCAGCCCGTGAATTCTACCTTCTGCCAATTCATGACATAGCGCGACTGGCACTAGCCAATGTCATCGGTGGCGAGTATTTGTCCTCACATTCGACCACCTGCTGCAGCCCACTGGTCACGACTTCTCACTAGAACCCCAGGTAACTATCTGCCTGAATAGGACAAGTCCCTAGTGAATATCTAATCGATATTCAAGTGTTGGTTTGTAGGGATTTGGTTGATTGATTACAGGATTTCATCATGAGCTGACATTCATGGGCCATTGGATCAGGTCCTAGTGAGTGGCTGAATGGTCTACGAGCTCACTAGCCTTGTAACCAGAAGGTCTTGGGTTCGAACCCTGGCAGTGGGTGGGTGCGTACTGATGAAGAGTCCCAAACTAGGCTGACGAAACAGCCGACTGTCCAGTACTCCCTGCAGGTTTTCCAATGGTTCTCTAACCAATGTCAGCTCATGATGAAATCCTGTAAATAATAATAATAATGATAATAATAATAATAATGACCGCAATAAAAAAATGAAAAAACATTCACCAAAGTTCATTTGTTTATGCTATTTAAAAATAAGAATTAAATAAAAACCAAAATATTTTTTTAAAAATTGTTTTAATTCAACGAAAATTTAGTCTCCCTCTCTCTCTATATATATGCATCTGACATATTGTTGAAATGAATTTAATGGATTCAATATACGATACACAAACACACATACACGCGCACATTACACATACACACACACACACAGTTAATGAATGAATCCATACCATTTTAAACTGAACTGTATTCAACCATTTTAAATGTTTTAGCATCACCTAAACAAAGTCTAGACTTTATGAGTTTATTAGGTTTGTTATTTTTCTTACAAGGAGACTCTATCTCTCCCTCTCTCTATCTTTCTATTGCCTCCAAAGCCTCAGGATGGTCGGGGGTGGGTGCCTTGCGCTGCGGGTTGGCCAACCCTCCGCACACCTCTTGAAATGCTCCCATATGACCGGGCGTCTTACATAGCCTCTCCTGAGGAAGTCCTACTCACTGCCTTCACGTGGCGGAGGTGTTTTTCACCAAAGTGAGAGGGCGAAAGCGGATGCCCGGCGCTCTTCACCAGGTTGACTGTCCATTGGATGACAGTCTAGGGGAGATGGCTAAACCCTGATTCCAAACCTCCAACGACTGGCGTATGAAGCTCACTGGAGCTCACCGGCAGACGTATGGACAAAGGGCTTGTTGGATGTCCTGGATGTCTGGCCCCATTCAAAAAGGCGTATGAACCGAACTCCGGTCACCGGCTGCCAATGGATAGTGGACTCTCTACTCCACTCCTACTGCCTTGTAGGTCACACTTGGTTGTGTAAAGGCTAGAGCTGCACTCTCAAACAAAAGGCCGAGCGATTCTGGGGACATCACTCGTACCAAATTCCCATGAAACTTCATGAACTCTCTTACATGGCTTGGTACAGTCAAGGCTGATATGGAGTGCCTGGGGCTACAAACCGTCTACGGGCTCCGTCTGTGAAACAAGAATTGGATAACCCTGTCGCAAAACCTTGCATCAGATCGCCGCGCCTGGGCAGCGATGATTCGAGATGTTCATGAAGCCGGCTCATCCTCCCGTAGGAGATAGCCGAAGTAAAGTAAGTAAGTATCTTTCTATTCCATGTTTATATATTATGCGTTATATCATTCTGCTAAAAACAAAACCAGCGGTTCAGAGAAGGTCTTTTCGGCAACTTAAAAATGCCCATTAAATTATTTTTTTCCAAAAGAATGGTTACTGGACAAAGAATATTCTTTCTGCGATAACCTGCTCCTCTTCATCAGGTTCTACATTTGTATATACACATAATAGTGAATGAATGAATGAATGAATGAATTAGTGTTATTAACAACAATAATGTTGTTTAAATAACATCGAATCAATAATAGTGATAGTAATAATAATAATGGATTACAGTTCAGTAGCATCAACATAACAATACACATTGAATATCAGAGAAATTAGGGTAGAATTTGGTGGCTGGAGTTGCTTCTTCACAACACACAGGGCATCAATTGTTTCAGAAAACTCTTGATAGCCTCTGCTATTTGGAGCACGCGATATCGCAATGTTTTCAGCAATTTATTTGGTACCTGGTAGATGATGAAAGAGAAAGATTCTTCAATGAGCCCAGTGGGCTGGTTGGCTTTGTGGCCAGTTTGGACCAGATGGTCTAATATAGAAATATTAATGATTTTTACTACACCTTTACCTAGCCATTCTGGGAAATGTTCTCAAACACGATATTAGACCACTTGGTCCGAACCCGCCAAAAAGCCGGCCAGTCAGCCTATTGGAGAATCCTTTTCTATCATCTACCAGGTATCAAAGAAATTGCCACAAACATCCAGATACCGCATACTCCAAACAGTTGAGGCTATTGTAATTCACGTGAAACAACCGGTGCTCTGCGTACATATGAAACAAGTCCAACCACTGCTACTGCCCTGGCGGGCCTTCAGTGGAGACTATAAATTCATGAATTTGTATTATTATCTTTCCTAATTTTTCTGATATTCAGTGTATTTGTTATGTTGATGCTATCAAACTGTTATCCATTGAAGCTATTATTATTATCATTATTGATTCGATGTTATTTAAACAACATTGTAACAAGAGAAGACAAGAGCCAGACAACAGATCATTTATTGAAAAAATCAACAGATATCTATAGATTTTTATGTACATTATAATTAGCGTTATTGTCAGCAGAGAAACAACCTCTTCTGATTGGTTGTCTCCCTGCTGAAGGTTATTCTGTACTGCTTACAACCGTTTCTCAGAAAGTTAAGCCATATATCTGCGAATCGTATTTGCACACGTTAAGTCTGCTATGATTGGTTGGCGAGTTCCTAAAGGTTAAGCTTTGTTATTGTTTTTTTTCTCATGACTCCGATTCGGGACGTGAACATTGACGTAAATTGGTGTCTGCCAATTTTAGGCTTGCAGACAGCTCTCACCACAACATTAATGGTGTTAATAATACTAATTTATTCATTCACTGTAGAACCAGATGAAGAGGAGCAGGTTATCGCAGAAAGAATATTCTTTGTTCAGTAACCATTCTTTTGAAAAATCTATTTTTCTCTTTAATTGTACTATCACATTTTTATACACAATTTTTTTGCCGTGAAAGAGGCTAGCAACAAAAGTGGTGAGTTATGCTGAAGTGACTATAAGTGTTGCTGTCACAGTTGATCATTGTGTTTCTCAATGAATAAGTTATCGATGGATGATATGTGACTGGTTGTGATTGATTGAATTATATAAAAGAACAATACGAAATCAG